AACTGATTATCAGTAGCACATCAACAACCTATCAGTGAAGTAGCAGCGGTGAAGCATCTGATTACACTGAAGTGAATATCTTGTAGATGTTCTGTTGATACATTACTTACATTAAGTAGATGTGTTGTTAATATGTTACTTCCATCAAGTAAAACCTAACCTTAAAATTCTAACTACAGGCAGAAGCTGCCCAGAACTCCAGCCCAAGTTCTCAGAGTTCTCCCCCTCCCTCAATCAGTCTTCCCTCATACTACCACCGTTGAAGGCATGGCCTAAAACTCACAAACAACACTTTAAACAACCTTTTTGAAAAGGGTTCTATATAGCACTAAAAAGAGTTCTTCTATCATTATGATGTCAAGCTTGTATACAATAGCAGAACCCTTTTTGGTGCTATATGGAACCATTTTCATTAAAAAGGCTCACTATAGAACCATGTACAACATGTTCTCCATCAATCTGAAGAACGATTTCAGGATGCAAAGAACCCTTTAAACATGCAAGGGTTTCATGTTGCTACATGGTGCTACACAGAACCACTTTCTTTACCAAATAACCCATGAAGAACCATCTTTTTTAAGAGTGTAGGAGAACCCTTTTGGGTTCTTATTGAGGCCTTTAGTTGAGTTTCTTATAATTTGTTTCTCATACGTTTCTTTTAATTTGTGGCCTCAGTATATTAATTTGAAGCCTCAAAATAGTAATTTGTTGCCTCAATTTAATAATTTGTGGCTTCAATATATTAATTTGTGGCCTCAATACAGCAACATGTGGCCTCAATATAATAATTTGTGGCCACGCCTTATTAAAAAATAATCACTTAGGGTCTCTGTACCATTCAGAACAAGTTTAGTGAAATTTTTCTCACCTTATGAAATGTAGATGTTTAACATAAACAGGTTAAACTGAAACACTAACGGTTAAAGTCATTTATATTTAAAAAAGTGAATCTATTTAAAGTCTGTTTAAAAGTTCATAAAGTGTCTGACCTCGTGAGACCCAGTACTTTCCTTTACCCTAAAATGTTGGTGCAATTACACAACAACTTCAAAGTAAACAGTATTTCTAAGACTCTTAGCACAGATGAATCTTGAAGGCTTTGAAGTTAAAGTCAAGTCATGAGAGTGAATTTGTAAAGAAAACTTTGCTGCCACCTGCTGGTAAATGACAGTATTGTAATGTGAAGGCCTGAGCATTTGGACAACAGTACAGATGATCTGATCATGTCTGTTTGTATATTATACGCCATATATCATATATCATTACAGTATCTCTAAGCAAATCAGTCAGTAAAGGTATACTTAAGGAATAGAACACAGAGGGAGTGTGTTATCGTGAAATAACATCACGGCTGTGATTTGTTCGCCGTAGATCATCACAGCCATGATGTTATTGGCGATAACACACTCCCTCTGTGTTCTATTGCTTTTATACAGCAGTTAAATAAATAAAGTAATGAATTAATAAACTGGGCCGTGAACGCGGCGTTTAATATGTTTTAATGTTCGCAGTTCCTTCACCAAATTATAGTTCTTTAACAAGCAGCTTGTTGCTACGTCAGAGTAACGAGCTCCGCCCACTCGCTGCACAGCCGCCAGTTCGTTCTCCAGCTCCTTACACTAAATTCCCAAACTGTCATCACCACTGAGCAGCTTTTCAGTCTGCAGCTGTGACAGAAGAACAGCTAAACAACCTGAAATCAGCCAGAAATTAACCCAATACCATTCACTAAACGTGTAGTCTGATCTTCAGAGTCTGACCAAATCAGACTGAGCCATAAACCTGCCGCAATATTAGGTTTAGCTCAGGTTTGTCAGTTTTTGCCAGATCAGTATTAATGTTGTTTTGTTCCAGCCAGTCTGTAAAGCATCTTACAGCCCATTTAGTTTGGCGAATGGTGTTGGGTTCATTTCTGGCTGATTCCAGGTTGTTTAGCTGTTCTTCTGTCACAGCTGCCGACTGAAAAGCTGCTCAGTGGTGATGACAGTTTGGGAATTTAGTGTTGTCTCGTCTTCAGAGTCTGACCAAATCGGCTGTCGGTCAAATGTGATCTTAAAAGTGTCCATTTTCTGTTTGTAAAGTAAAGTAAGAAGTAAAAACGTTCAAATGGCTTGAGCGTCTCCTACAGCCGTCAAAGTCGTTGCTTAGCAACAGCGTCTCAGCGGAGTGACACAGTGTTTGTGAAAAACCCGTGATGTTATGGTGAAATAACAGCACAGTTAGAACACTTCTCAACCAATCAGCTTGCGTGGCCGGAACTAACTGTTGTATAAACACGTATATACAATGATACACATATCTTTATTATGTACATTGTGACAGACTGGCTGTAGAAGCCAAATATTACAGTTTGCAACTGGGACCGTTTAATTCTGGGACAATTGAAAATTCTTCCTAAGTGAAGGATGTTAATGGTGAGTTTGTCCCCCTTTGCTGCTACTCTTCTGGAGAGGCACTAGATTTTGGAACATTGCTGTGAGGATTTGATTGATCATTAGTGAGGTCAGGTACTGATGTTGGATGGTCAGTTCTGGATCTCCAACTCATCCCAAAGGTATTGGATGGAGCTCCATCACTCCAGAGAACACAGTTCTAATGTTCCACAGCCCAATGCTGGGGGCTTTATACCCCTCTAGCCCACACATGGCATTAGGCATTATGACCCTAGGCTCATGTGCGGCTGCTCCATTTTACTGGTCAATGCTTTTCTATGCCTGTGTCGCACTAGATGCAGTTTAAAGTAAGTGAATTCACTCATTAGAATGACCACCTGGTAATTTCGGACATACAGTGTATACTGACAGAGGCTGGATGTACCAAGAAGTTCCACAGAAGTAACAATTCTATAACTTGGAAAAATATATATAAAAATATATACTCATCTTTTAAAGAAACACCATTATTGCTTGTTTATAAACTAAGTGTTACTGAGCTCTGCTAAAGCCTGAGTAGACTGATAAATCAATGTGATCAGTTATTAATCTCAGTGTTACTGAGCTCTGCTAAAGCCTGAGTACTTATAAATCAATATGATCAGTTATTAATCTGCAGTGTTACTCAGCTCTGCTAAAGCCTGAGTAGACTGATAAATCAATGTGATCAGTTATTAATCTCAGTGTTACTGAGCTCTGCTAAAGTCTGAGTAGACTGATAAATCAATATGATCAGTTATTAATCTCAGTGTTACTCAGCTCTGCTAAAGCCTGAGTAGACTGATAAATCAATGTGATCAGTTTTTAATCTCAGTGTTACTGGGATCTCTGCTAAAAGCCTGAGTAGACTGATACATCATGTGATTCAGTTAGTATCGCAGTGTTACTGTGCTCTGCTAAAGCCTGAGTAGACTTATAATCAGTGTATCGGTTATTAATCTCAGTGTTACTGAGCTCTGCTGAGCCTGAATTAACTGATAAATCAGTGGTGATCGGTTATTAATCTCAGTGTTACTGACTCTGCTGAGCCTGAGTATACTGATAATCAATGTGATGATCTTTATTAATCTCAGTGTTACTGAGCTCTGCTAAAGCCTGAGTAGACTGATAAATCAATGTGATCAGTTATTAATCTCAGTATTACTGAGCTCTGCTAAAGCCTGAGTAGACTGATAAATCAATGTGATCAGTTATTAATCTCAGTATTACTGAGCTCTGCTAAAGCCTGAGTGACTGTTTTTTATTTCAGTGATGCGCTTTTGGGTTGCTTTCATCGTATAAAAGGTACTATATAATAAACTTTATCATTCTTATTATTATTATTATTATTATAAGTTATAGTAGTAGTTAATAGTAGTACTAGTAGTATTACATAATATATTAAAATCACATACATTTTTGTAAATCATAATAATTTTTTTCTTCTGCCAAAATCATTACTGAACAATAAAAAATTGCAAGAAACCAATATGTAAAAGAAATACATTTTAATTTTATTTTTCAAAATATGTGTCAGTGTTGAAAAATATGTGAGTATTAGATCTATTATCTATATATATATATATATATATATATAATTATTATAGATATAGATATATAATATATTATAGACTATCACTGCTGTCAGAAGAAAATCTCATATCTTCATTTTTGATGTTTTTCAGTTTTTGACATAATTTGAAAATGCCTGTTGCTCTTTATACTGTGCGTAAATTTCATGCTGAATGGACCAAAAGAAACGGCCCAAAATGACTTGGAAAAAAGTCTGGTTCCATTGACTTACATTAAAAGTAAAGTATGTTTTTTCCTTCTCCTGTAAAGTTACCATTTTGGAGATACGAGGTTTTGTTATGACAGTAGCATATGTGTGTGTGTGTGTGTGTGGTTCTTCAGATTGATGGAGAATGTGCTGCATGTGTCTTTATATAGAGCCTTTTTTGAAAATGGTTCTATATAGCACCAAAAAGGGTTCTTCTGTTTTTACAAGTTTGACATCGTAACCATGGCAGAACCCTTTTTGGTGGTGCCAAATTCAAAAAAGGGCTCTATATAAAACACACATTCTCCATCAGTCTGAAGAACCATTTCACCGCGCAAAGAACCCTTTAAGCTTCCAAATGGTTCTCTGAGTGTTCATGGTTGTACATAGAACCATTGTCTTTCCTAAAGAACCCTTGAAGAGCCATCTTTTTTAAGAGCGTTAATTATTTATTTGAACAGATATTGTACACATATATTCTGTTCCAGGTGGGGTTGATTGATCTTCATGTTGATGGTGGGGGGGGTGTTGTTGGTTCCCCGCTCCAGCAGATGGCAGAAATACACTGTCTGTTTCTAAAGGAAGCAAAACTGACGAAAAAGACGAGACGACAGGCCAGCAGGCCAGCTGGAGGATCCTGGAAGTGGACGAAGTGCAGGATTTTGGCCCTGTGCACCCGCTACTGATCAAACCTCGTGGATCAACGGAACCAGCAGTGAGAGTGCGACCCTGCTGATGGCAGCGAGGCGTCCGCTCACGGTACTGCGGCCGCGGGTGTTTTTACTCTGTGTGAGTGTGTCCAGCCGGTCGCCGCCTGTCTGTCTGTTTGGGCTTCTGGCTTTGACAGTTCAGCCTCAGAATCCTTATGCTTTCGCTGCGTTTCGCTGGCACACGTCAGCTTTCGTTCAGCAGCCTTAACGCTATTATGTGCAGTAAGTTAGTTCGGCGATCGTGTTCGCGATCTCTCTTCTTCTTCTTCGAAGCCCAGTTCCAAGAAATAAGGGGAGAGGCGTTTTATTTATTTGCTGTGCGTCTGGATAGCCATCAAACATTTCCTGCAGGTTTCTGTCCAGCTCTCTGCAGTTCAGGACTGCTTCCGAGCAAATGGTGGCCGATAACGGCGCCGTGAACAACGAATAACACGAATACCATTGATATTAACGTGATTTGTCAGCGTTGACATGTGCGCGTCATTGTCATGCACCATCCAAGTGTCTGTATCGCTTTACCTATCATTTGTACGGACAGCATATTTGCTTTGTAAAGCATTTCTACATCCATATGTCGCTGTTAAACGGTGTTTTTGATACCCAAAGAACGGAACAAGCTGTCTGTGACGCTTTTAATGCAACTTGTGTTGCAGTTGGCTTCCTACTCGCCTGCTTCTTGTTCGAATTTTCCCGTTCCACCTTAAATGGAGGTGCAGCAGCTACCGAGAGACGAAGCTGACTTCATATTTGGAAATGTTTATAGCACTATAATGTTCTGCAAGTGCTTGATCAGATATAGAATAGATATAAACTTTACTAAGATGCTTAAAAACGCACTGGCTTTTATTGGAGATCTCTACCAAATGCTGTGGCTAAGCTAACAGCGTTAACCTAGCTAGCTGTTATCGTTACAGAACGACACACCACAGCTCCACTCCTGCTCACTCTTTTATTTCGCATTAAATCTTCTGTTCTGTGTTAAAATTACACACATTTGCCTTGTGAAATACTCCACTGTGTGAACAAATAAAGTGCGTTGTGTGCTGATAAACGCTAGCTGGCTAGCGACAATGCTAACAAGCTAAACCCCTGATTAGATCTGTCAGAAGCGTTGGCTAACTCTAGCTGTATTAGCTACTGACCGACAGGTGTATTTTGTATTTTTGTTGTTTCGACCTGCTGTCCAGGTGAATAAAACATGTCGTGTGACGATAAACAAACGTTGTGGAGAGAACTGACAAGCTACGCCATACACACAGCTAGCTAGCACACGTAGCGTTAGCTTGCTCTCCGCTTAGTTGTTGTTGACATTTTCAAAACATTCAGCCGTTTTAGCCGCCCGTTAGGCTGAATGAGCGGCGTGTGGTCATGTAAATAACAGACCCAACTTATTAATCTTCACCGTTTACCCAGTTTTAGGTAATACATATTTTTTTTAACCGAAATTGAGTCCTCGTTTGGAGCCATTCCGTCAGAATGAGCTGTTTTGGTTGCTTTCAGTCGCGTTAGAGGATAGAGGTTTGATTCTCTCATATTAGCAGAGAAAGGGGTATATAGAGCAGAACACACACATGTCGGATCATTTAACATAGTTCCCAATAACAAAGTCTCAAAAAGCTGCCTAACACATGCGAATTTATGAAGCAGAATTAGGCTTCTCAGTGGAATTGACCGCTCCACCTTAAATGGTGCAGCATGTAACAGTGACTCCTGCACCATTTAAGGTGGAACGGGCAAGTCCAATAAGAAGCCAGCTTCAGATTCGTTGCGAATGTCATAAATGTCTCCCTTTCTCAGTAACGTTGTACTTTTGGGCTACAATTTCCGAGTCTTTTTACTTTAAAACAATGAAAATATCCGTCAAATAAAAGAAGAAAATGCGTTAAATGCAACGAAACCAAAGAGAAGTTATCGTTAGCCAGCGCCGCTAACGGTAGCTTTCCTGTAAAGGGGCCGTTGCGTTATAACGCGTTTAAGTTGCTGGTTCTTATCTCGGGATAAAAATAGCTTTCTAGCTATTTATCGGATCAACCAGGTTTATAGTTGTTTGACTGGATGCCTTTAAAGCGGATACGGGAGTCAAAGATAGCCTAAAGAAACATACCATTAGCTTGTTAGCTAGCTAACGTTTTGCTAACGCCTGTTTGGGCGATTTATCAGCAATTAATACATTTGTGCTGCGTTGGTTTAATTTAAGCTTAGCTTCTCAGTATTTTTTGACCTATTCTGCATTTTTATCCTGATTGAAAATACAATAAATACGCTTAATCTAGTCGCTAGTCTCAATTGCGTCCCAAACCGCATATTCCAGCACTAAATAGTGTGTAAAAAAATAGTGCATGGCCATTAGAAGTGTATCTATTAGTGTATTAGGGAAAGGATAGAATTGCGCGAATTGGGACGCAGCCATAGTAACCTTGTCGCTAGTTAGTTTAATGTTTCTCATACAGGTGTGTATTTATAGTAGCACTGCGCTTCGTATAGTTCACGTAGGGAGTGCACACGATATAGAGAGTCGTTATTAAGTGGCTAAGATTAATTTCCAGCTCGTTGACAGGCGCTACGCGACCGGTTTAGGTATGATTTCAGTGAGGAGGTGTCGCAGGTGAAGGTGTCGTGGTTGTAATTGAATCTGGCTGCTGTTTGAAATGACTGCGTCTCGTTGCCTGGTGTCCAGAGACATCGCAGAAAGACACACCAGAGCAGAAGGGCGCTTTCTGAAAGGTCTGTCTGCTGCTGGTCTTATGTTTTGCAGGGTGGCAGCTTTCCAGCTTTCCAGCAGTGGCTGCTCTCCCTCTTGCAGTGCGCCATATGTTATGATTGCGACTGTGCTGCAGTGATGCTGCATTGGCACCTCTAGGCCAAATGCCCTCTTCCTTCCGCTTTCCTGGGCTGTTGCTCCTTTTGTTGCCTCCACGCTGCATGCAGATGTGCATGTAGAGGCTGTGTGGGTTCGGGGAGAAGCTTGATCAGTGCTGATGTGCATGGTTTTGTGTCTTGTCTGTCTGTCCGTCTGTCCAGGGGATGAGAGGAGAGCAGGTGCTGCCCTCCTGGCTGCTGGCGCAGTGACGCGGTGAGCTTAGGATGGCGAAGACAGGGCCGCAGTTGGACTACCACATCCTCCAAGACCTCAAACAGCGCTTCCCTGAAATCCCTGAGAACGTAGTGTCTCAGTTCCTTCTGCAGGTGAGGACATAGTAGCTGGAGAAAATCTCATGCATTTTATTGCATAATTAATTTCCCTGTTTGTGTTTGGACCAAAAAGGGAATGCAGAAGTATGTGCATGCCACATGGTACCAATGGGGAAACAGGCATTGTTCGAGGGGGAGTGACTTTCCTACCCTTTTCTTTAGCTGCTGATGAAGATCAGAATTAGGCTTTTTTTTTCTTTTCTTTTTTTTGGTGAAGTTTGCACATACAAGGACTTTGGTTCCACAGTAGTTCACAATGAAAAGATCAGAGGAAGGAAAGGAAGCCTGGTACAGAATAATGACTATTGTCTGCTAAGGCTAAGGCTCTTACTTTGACATGCCTGGCTGTGTCATGTGAGTATGGTGGTGAGAGATGCGTCAGGTGCTGCTTTGTTGTTTACTCCAACGTCTGCCATTTCCTTCTCCAGAACAACAATAACCTGGACCTGTGCTGCCACCTGCTGGCTCAGGAGAGTAACAGATACCTGTATGAGGAGTATCACAGCCCGGAGGAGGTGCACTTAAGCCGGAACCACATGCTGCACATCAGCGTGGGTTACCCTCCGCCGGAGGGGGCCAAGGCCGGCACGGCAGGCGCACGGCAGCTCGTGCACAGCTCCAGTGATGGCCACATCGAGCCCCAGCGGGGCGCCTTCCCCGAACCCCACTCGGCCCCTGCTGCCATGGCACCGTCGCCTGGATACAACCCCTTTTTCATGGGCGATCAAGGACGCTCCGCTAGCACCCCTACCCCTCCACCCACCATGCAGGGCATGTCCCCCACTTACACCCCTGTTCCCCAGCGCTACATGACCCCCATCACTGTCACGCTCTCACAGAACATCCCTAACGTCCCTCAGGCGCTGCAGATTCCCCCCGGCGCTTATGGTAACAGTGGAAATGCCCTCTATATGCGGCCCTCTCCCTCACAGAGCCCCCAGCCCACTCCATGGGGCACGTCTACTGCTTCGGTGTACCAGCCGTCGCCCTACACCACACCCACGTACCAGTCGCCCTACAGCTCGCCCCAGCACCAGGTCCAGCAGCCTCCGCATGTCTTTTTGCCTATTAGCCCTCCTACCCTACACAACATGCCCTACCAGCAGGCCCCGGCTGGCTCCTACAGGCCCTACATGACATCCAAGGGCTCCATGAAGAACCAGATTGAGATCACACTGGAGGGGAGGCCGCGTAGCAACTCCCCTGTACACGCTCCACAGGGAGCGCTCTACATGGCCACAAGCACGTCCCCAAGCTCACCGTCCAGGGCAATAAGCATGACCGGCCCACCAGGGCCGGCCTTTCACCCCGGCGTGTACCTCCACCAAGGGGCAGCACGGCCCCGGCCCGCCTCCTCACCCCAGGCAGCAAGCTCCGCCTACATAAAGATCAAAGTGTCGCCGGGCCAGGCCCAGCGGTCACTCGAATCGCCACCGGTGGAGACTGAGTCGCTCCTCAACATCGTGGACCAGGGCGAGAATCACGGCACCCCGGCCCCCATCCTGCCCATCTCCGCGCTGCCCGGCAACGTCGCCAGCCAGATCAGCCACATGCCCAGACGCTCCAGTTCGGGGTCGGACGACTATGCCTACACCCAAGGTGATGTCTCTCGACTCCTCCTTCTTTTTGGTTGCCCTGAATCACTTATTCAAATATTCCCTCTGATCCTGAATGTAGTCTGTCAACTAAGGCTTGTTTGGTGTCTGCAGTTTTCCAAACTGATGTAGCTAACAAGTAATGGAAGCTTATACCCCACCAATTAGCATCGGTCAGACTTCATCTGTTGATCATCACACAGTAAAACTTGGCTTAATGAACAAGAATTAGGTTTTGGTGTTTCACATTTAATCTGGGTCTGGAAAACTGATCCTAATACTAGATTAATATAACAGTGTTGCAAAAGTAACAACGCCCTAAAGGGGATTTTTTGACTTTTCCTTGATAAGTGTTCATTTGCTTTCTCAAGATCTAGTTATTTACATGATCACAACATAACAAATGTTGTTTTCCTGAGATCTCATGCCGTCATCACGAAATGATGGATGTTATCTTAAGAAAACACTGAGTGCGTTTACATGAACTTAATGATCCAATAACTGCAGAAAATCATTTTGTCAGTAATCCGATCAACACGTTTACATGCGCTTAAGTAATCAGATAATGGGGAAACTCCGGGTCTACATGAGTCAGACCGTAATCAGATTTCTACTTTGCAACCAGCCAATAAACTCGCAGAAGATGACGTGATGTAAACGTAACATAAACTCAAAATTCATGCTGCAGCTTTTTTTAAAACATCGCACCCCTTTACTTGAAAATATGAACAAACATCATCTAGAAGATGAAGAATAATCAAATCCTTTCGTGTTTGGTTTCAGCGCCGCTCCGTCATCCACCGTCTGATCTCGCGCATTCTCAGACTGAGAAATCTGATTAAGAATCAGAGTAAGAGTTTACATACACTGAAAAATCTGATTACTGAGCTAAAATCCAGCCTCTTTATTGGATTTCTTAATCGGATTTCTAGATTGGAGTATGGTTTTAACATGACCATTTGAATTATTGGATAACTACAGAAATCCGATTATGATCGGATTATTGCGTGCATTAATATGCTCTCAATGTTTGTCGTGATGATATAAATAACTCGAGATTTTGAGAAAACTAATTCTTGAAAATAATTCTTATCGTGGAAAGATGGAATTAAAAAATGAGAATCCATGGCCCGATAGGGGCTCTGTACAAACTGTCAACATTGTCGCCTGTTGGCCACTTTGTGGGTGTGTCACAAGCAGGTTTAGTTGTCCAATCTTGTCTTGGCTAAGGGTCTAATATTAATTTTAATATGTGAGCCAGCGTAAAAACACTGATTTCATTGTGTAGTTTGAATGTAGACGTGACGCATGACACTATGGCACATTCTAACAGTCTGATTTGCCGCCATCCGCCGAAATTCAGCTTTTTATCGCTCTCTCTGCACCACTGCTACTCCCACAAACCTTTCCTGGCAGATCTGGATCACTCGACTTTAAAGTGATAGTTTGGCGAATAATCAGATTTACACAGTTTTTCCCCTTAACTTATAGCTGATCAGCCAAGATGGAGGTTTGCTTTAGTTTTTTAGCATTTGAGCTAAAGTGGCTACAAGTAGTGGAAGATTACACCCTTAGCAGAAAGGGTTCTAGATAGTAGGTTCTGTGACTCAGCAGAATCCTTTTTGGTGCTATATAGAATCAATTTTTTAAAGAACCATATTGAACAGCATTTCCATAATAGAGAAGAACCGTTTAACCATGCAGAGAACAACTTTCAAATGGTTCTTTCACGTGAACCTCTGAACCAGTTAGCATTGTGCACACAGACATAATTATGTGGTTTCTGGCACCGTGCGCTGCAGCGTTATCTAAGAACACGGACAAAATTACAGATAAAATTCAGGGTTCATGGTAGCTGCTCCTGCTGTTCTTAACTTCTGCAAGAAATTGTGTAAATTAGATTTTTCAATGAGCTGCTGCTTCCAGTATTGCAATAATATATAAAAATAGGAAATTAGCCTAATATCTTTGTCCCTGTTGTAATTAATGGTACCATTAGTGTTATTCCAGTACCTTTTTTTTTACCTGAGTATTTCGCAAAAGGATAAAATTCTCACATCTTATCTTATCTAGTTATGGCACAGACTTCGTGCAAATGCATGTGATGTCATGGTTTGCACTCACTATCTTGGTTTTGGTCTGTGTGTATTTGATCCTGTGGTTTAGTCCGTCTTGGTGAAGAGTGCATGCTCATAGGTCTGCATGCATGCTGTTGTGGTTACGCCTTCTCAGCTGTGCGTGTGTAAGAGAGATATGGTGCTTCTAGCAGGGTGTGTCCTGCTGTCCCCAAAGTCCTGCATGGTGTGTTTGTGTTTATGATTGTGTGTGTGTGTGTGTGTGTGTGTGTGTGTGTGTGTGTGTGTGTGTGTGTTTTAATATATGTCTGCAGCATGCGTTCTGTAGAGCTTTACTCAGGCCTAAAGTTTTGGTCCAAACCTGAATGCAGTCTGAGAGCTTTCTGTTTGTGTTTGACCCAAACCAAACATCATCCAGTTTTGAGTCTGAAACTGACCCAGACTGGCCCGTCATCACCCAAAGTGCAGAATAAAATCTGACAGGATGGCTCTGGTTAATAGCCGATGTTAGATCATGGATAATTAAAATAAAATAATACTATAAATAATTATATAACAAAACAATTGGCTGTTTGCTTAAATAAATGCAGTCAAGTCCCCCACCTCCCCAGTATTTACATGTGTTGATTTTTGAAGTGAAAAGAAGCAAAAACATCTGCTGCAAACTATTTAAAATTTTTTTTTCTGCAGATGTTGGTGCACAGTTACTTTATTTTGGATTAACTTTAAAAATAGAAAAAAGCTAAAATGATAATTGTGGCATGTGCAAAAGCTCAGACACCTTGTTAACCCTCTACTGCACGCATTGCAAATTTAAAAAAATATTCAATTCGCTTTTCTTGCATAAAATGGTCCTTATTTTTTTGGACCCAATTATTAAATTCAAAAACATTTAAAAAAAAATATGCACAGGTGTCCTGTTGGAGTATTTTGCCTTGAGACAACATTACGCAACCATAGGAAAAATGCTATAGAGCTGTATTCCCTGAAGTGGTGAGACGTGGCTTGTGACTGGCTAAATCCATTCCACTGTCACACAATTTTGCTTCTAGGCAACAAACATATTTGTCCTAATTCTCATAACAAAAAAATGATACTGAACATTTAAAAAGAGGTTTAAATGTGTCCACTAAGAGGCAGTATGACCAAGTACATGCTTTTTATTGACTTATTCAAAACTCCTCTATTTATTGTTAACCCTATCAGTGTCTTTAAATATGTATAACGTTATTGTAAAGTGAGGAAAATGAGTTTGTTGCCCTGAGGCAACATCATGCAATAGAGGGTTAAGTCAGAAAGTCACTTGCTGACCTCCTTTGGCAGATATTACAGCTTGCAAACATGTTTTGTAATCAGCTAGGAGTCTTTCTGCTTGTTTTAGGAATTTTTATCACTCCTTTGCCAACTAAACCTTCCTGCAGGTCCTTTGCTGTCACGTGGGGGTTTTGCTTTGCCTTTCTGACCAACATACGAGCAGTTCTACGTGGGAGTTTTCTTGGTCTTCCAATATCTTGCCTTGACTTCCGTAGTTCTCCCTAACTGCCATTTCCTAATGACATTTCGCACAGCGGAAATGGCATTCTTGAGTCTTTTTATGGCTTTCCCGTGCTTTATAAGCATCAGTTAGCTTCATTGTCAGATCCTCGGCCAGATTCCTGGATGAGCCCATGATTGTTTGAAGACAATTCTTGACTAGCCTTAACGATCCTAATTAGCCAGTTAAGGTTTTATAAATGAGTTCTTTGACTTTAATAATTGGGTGTCCAATCTTTTGCACATGCCGCTTACCATTTTATTTATTTTTATTATTAGAAATTATTTTATTTTATTTATTTTTCCCATTTTTTTTAAAATTGTTCAAATATTAAGTAACTGCATTAAAATGTGCAGACAAAAATTATTAAAAAAAAATAGTTTAGAGTGTTTAGAGTGTGAATCTCTGAGCTCACAACTATTAGATGTGATCATGATTTTTTTTTGTTCCAATTTTTCAATGCATATTTAAATTCATCTCCATTTCACAGCCGTTTGATTATTTTGCTGTGATTCTTTTAACAGTACCTTTAATGTAGATGTGCACTGCAGTAACTGAGCACATGTCAGCCAGTGTTCCTGTGGGTCTATTTCAACATTTTATCTGTTGTTTAACATTTAAGAATTGGAATTTATGTCTGGTGACTTTTGTTGGTCAGTCAAACTGTCCCAGTGTCCCGTTACGTCTAACGTACAGTCACATACAGACACCCTACAGTGTCATCCTGGAATCGTGGGAGTGTCAGTGTTGTGTTCTGCTCAGACATGAAGCAAAAGGTGGTGGAAGAGTGGACTAAAATGGACAGATTGGTGTAATCTTTACCTGACAGGATTGCTGCTGTTAACCGTGTCTTAGAGAAGAAATGATGAATGCAACTAATATATACAGACGTAGGCACTTCAGCGAATTGTTTACCAATTTATTTGGGCAATAAGTGTTTTTTGTGCTTGTAAAACACTGTATATCATTATTATATATCACATTCTTTAAAATATTATTTTCTTTTTGTGTTGAGCTAGTTTGAAGAGCAAAGCCTATTGAAGCACCCAGCCATACTGATAAATTAAATTATAATAAGTCATATAATTTATATATTCCATCACCAGCGCACACACACACACACACACACACACACACACACACACAAAGTTGATACGGTTGAAACGCCACCATCAGTTTATGGTGTTTTGCACCCCTCGTATGTTGGCTGTAACCCCTCACTGCGTCTCTGTCTTGCAGCCTTGCTGCTGCACCAGCGGGCGCGGATGGAGCGGCTGATGAAGGAACTGATGGTGGAGAAGCAGAAGCTGGAGCTGCTGAAGGCCGAGGTCAACGATATGGAGTACGACGCCTTGCAGAGACGCTTCAGGCGCGTCAACAGCACGAGCTTCATCCCGCGGGTACATGCAACAACACAAACGCAGCACGTCCAGCATTAGAGGGTCATTTCACAAAGCAGGATTTCTCATTAATTTACATAATTTAAAGTGAGCTATTTCAGTCAGGAACATATCTCAGTATATCTGAGAGAGGTCATTGTTGTTCAGATTTCCTTTTTGCACTGCTGCTGTACCAGCCACACCTCTGTGGAATGTCGTGTTCTCTTTGTCATATAATTGTCATATAATTGCATAGGCCAATATTGCAATAATGATTTAATGCTCTGGTGTGCAGTCGTGGTGCCTAGAGGCACAGATTCCTCTCACTAGGGTAAACACTGCACACAGGCTATACACATTATATGAAGGAGCATCCCACGTAGGCGAAAGATGGCTATGTGTGCTTTAAGGGGTCTTATTTATTTATTTATTTATTTATTTATTCATTTATTTATTTATCCATCCATCCACTAACACATGTGTGTACACTATCTGTCCCAAGGTATAAAGTGTAATGAGTGAATTCAGCCACTTTTAACTCACCCGTTGCTGACCTAGTTGTTCAGCTGCGCACATGTAGCTTTAATAATCTCAAGTATGGGCTAGAGGGCTATAAAGCTCCCCAGCACTGGGCTGCAGAGTAGTGGAACTGCGTTCTTAAGAGTGATGGAGCTACATCCGAAAAGTTAATCGAAAAGTAATCGAAACCAACATTCAGAACCTCTAACTGACGTAATCTTGCCCATTTCGGTTATTTCTATTTATTTATTTTTTTTTATTCTGTTAATCCTTTCCTCACTCTTTGTGTTCATGTACTGTCCTCTTAAAAACTTACTACCATACCTGTAGTGACTCTGCTACGTCGAGTCTGCGACATGGAAGCTAAGGCTACGTTCACATAGCAGGTAAAAGTGGCCCAAATCTGATTTTCTCACCAAATCAGATTTTTTTGTTTGGCTGTTCAGATTATCTTTTAAATGTGATCTGTATGAGACATCAGCCTGAACAGATCAGCTCCTAAACTGACCCACATGCACTAAAGATCAGAGCGTCACGCTGCTTCACGGCTCATCCAGAGGTAAACAATCACGACCGCCAACGAGCGCCAGTCGCTCCCGGAGGATCAGCTTCATCTTCACCAGCATCACAGGAGCCATCATGAAGCTTCACTGACTGACAGCTGGGCTCATCACCCAGAATGCGTTCGAGCCGTAAAAAGGGCGCGGTCACTTCTTTGGTTCATGTCCTCGGATTCTTTAAACTTTGAGACTTTTAACTGTTCTTTGACGCTGCAGCCTCGTTCTCCTGCGGCCATTTCTTTCTAAATCTCTTTAAACACGGAGTACAAACCTTTTCAGTGAACAATGAGGGCAAAAAACAAACCACAAAAAACAAGAAATGAAAATTGTTCATTAATCGTAATCAAGGTAAAATATTCAATTAATCGTGATATTGATTTGAGGTCATATCGCCCAGCACTAATCCAGTACCTTTGGGATGAGTAGGAGTGATCCAGAACTGATCATCCAGCGTGACCTGAACTGACCTCACTAATGCTCAAGCAAATCCTCACAGCAGTGTTCCAACATCTAGTGTAAAGAGTAGAGGCTGTTACTGCAGAAAAGGAGGACAAACTCACTATTAATACCAATACTAATATAATAATTAGACGAGCAAGTGTGCAAACTTTGGTCATGTTTATACGTTTATACTGTGATAGTGATGTACATGCCTTTCCTTTTTTACTGTATGGGATAAAGTCAGTGATAAAATGAAGTGTTTTGCCTCTGTGTGTTTCATAGCCTGAAGAAATGACCAGAATGCGGTCGCAAAACAGACAGCTCCAGATTGACATTGATTGTACCTTGAAGGAGACGGACCTGCTGCAGTCCAGAGGTAACCGCATACACAGGCCCTGTCTACACTCTGCATTAATGTGCATTGATTACAGTACAGGGCGCCTACAGCTATTCATATTATTACAGTCGCCGTGTCCGGCAGACTCACTTCCTGCAGCATGTTTAGGTTGGGTGGTCATTTCAAGGTGGATGATGATGATGTTCCTGCTCTATTTGGGCAACATGTCCAGACAAGAACGGAAACTTTCTTGTTTCTGCTTAATGTATAATTTACAGTTTCATACATTGTTTTATAATTTACATCAGGACGCTCAAACTGCCAGCTCCACTTCATACGGGCCATCAGATATTTCTCCTTAAATAAGTAAAAGACCCGCAGCTCTCTGCTGTTATTATTAGTACTAATAATTTCTATTTATAATTGGGGTATTAGATGTGGCTGTGGCAGCAAATAAACATCCAAAACAAACAGTGAACCTAGCGGTAAGTTTTCTTTATGGACTGTTTTGCCTAATAACACCCTACATGTATCCCTCCACCATGAACTGGCCAAAACCTTCTCAAAAATGTTTCGACATCAGGCAGTGAATTCATAACCATTTCATGTGGTAACTTTCTGTGAGGGAGCTTTTAGAGGCGGACGTGCAGAGCGTTTCACACCAAACCACTCTGAATGACTCTGTTTACATCTTAATCATTAAGTTATGCGGAAATTTAGAGGCATCATTCACCTTTAATCTCCTTAAATTGCTGCTTTAGCAGTTTTAGCTCAACCGTTTCAGTCAGGTAAAGCTTTTTCAGCGTTATCCAGCTAACTGAATTATCTGGTTAAGAGGAACAGGACCCTGTTCATAGAGTTATGAGTGTTATGTACGGTACTGCAGTGCTGTACAAAAGTGTTAGACATCTTTGGAAAGACATTTAAAGCAGTTAATGTGGGCCGTAAGCCTTTATTTGTCCAAAAACCCACTAACATTAGAATAAATACAAATTAAACAGTCCGTTGTAGTTGTTCTCTTAGCATTTACCAGTTACCAGTTAGTTCATCTAATCCATCCCTCATTAAATTATATCAAGTGCTGCTAAAGAAATCGGACAGATCCATGGTTGGAGAGCAGCGAAAAACAGGAAACAAACCTGTTCTTATAACTCTGTTCCTCTAAACTGCGTATTCACTTATTGAAAACTACACATTCTGACCACTGTCTTTGTTTATTTGTGTTTATTTGTGTTTATCAGTGTTGACTTCAGTGAACGATATGTTGTAATTGCGGAGAAAACGAACAACCGCAAACGTCGAGAGGAGGCTTCGTGCACATGGCAGCTGGGCGAACTCCTCAGACGAATAGTGTGTCCCAATTCAGGCGCTGGGTCCTTCGAAGGATGCAGTCTATGAAGGCGTGTCCTTCGAAGGCTTAGACCCGTGAAGGCTGAACTGAAATGAGACGGTCTGCCCTACAGCGGATTTACTGTTTGCGTCACAGCACCTCTGTTCCCGCCCTCACTTTTGCGCTAAAAAACATGGCTCTTGTCAAGTTCTTTTAAAGTTCTTTAAAGATGGAGCCAGAAACTTTGATTTCTTAATTATCTTAATTGTTTATTTTTTCATTTATTAGAGCTGGAGATGCTTCCCTGCTGGCTACTGATGGGATTGTTGTGGGGGTTTTTTTGGGCTTTTTTTTTGTTTTTTGCATTTGTATCGTTAGCCATTCACCTCAGTTTAAAGACTTAATTATATTTAAAAGTGTCTCTTCAGCCCCCGTTCGTTTCTCTGTCGATGCTGCCATGTCTTCGAATACTCGCCAGCATGTAATGAACCCTGGGATATGTTGGCTGGCGAAGGATCCACCTGTTGGATAATTCGTTGCCATGGAAAAGGACACATTTCTCGGCCGCATACGAAGGAGCCTTCGAATTGGGACGGCCTAGTCGTGCCGCTGTGACGCAAACGGCCTTCAAATGCAGCCTCTGAAATGGGACACACTGGAAGACACTAAATGACAAATCCTGTGATTGGTCAGTAAAAAAAAGAGGCGTGGCATGAAACAAAGATAGGCGACTTTGAGGAGCTTCGTTTTGCAAGAAGTCTGCTGAACGCTTTGGCAGTGTTACACTGTGAAACATGCATTTGTTAAATAAACAATGAATACCTCTTAAATGTAAGATGTTAATTCAATTATTCACTTGTACTAACTAGTAGAACGCACCAAAACATAGTCGCCAGCTTCTTGTTCAAATTTTCCCGTTCCACCTTAAATGGTGGCAGCATTCTGGACTCAAACGTCGCCACATTAGAACTGTGATAGAATCGTTTTCCAGTAGTCATGAAACTGACATAGTGTTTGTGTCATACCTGCATTAGTGGAGCCCCCATAACAGGCAAAGTGAAACCGCAGAAAGTATGCGAGGTTGTAAGCTGGCAAAGGCGCTTTTGGCTTCGCGCCACCCTTGAGAATTTCGTTTCACAAGAAATATGTTGAGGCCTTAAGACTTCAGCGCAGTACTGTAGTTTAACATTTGTTTAATGCATTTCTTGTTTTTGCCCAGGCAAGTTTGACCCAAAAGCCATGAACAACTTTTATGACAACATTCAGCCTGGTCCGGTCGTGCCACCCAAACCAGGGAAAAGAGGTGAGAATACCCCCCCAGATTCGTTTATTTTATTTGTTTGCCTCTGTTGGACAAAAAAAAAGAAATGGTCCAAAAATGCCTAGACAGAAGTCTTTTACCTTACATTAGATGTTTTGAAGATTTTATTCTGTTTTATTCTGACAGTGACAGACAGACCGACAGACAGACAGACAGAACTTTATTGATCCTGAAGGGAAATTGCAGTGTTACAGTAGCAAGACATTTAATTGCACATAAACTTACATATATTAGGCAGAAATGAAATACAAACAGACATAAATTAGGAAAATCTTATAAAAATCCACAAAAGAAAGAAAAGTTGGTAAAAGTCACTATTTACAAAAAAACAGAAGACGCAGACACGGAGCTACTGGAACAGGCAGCCACCTCGAGCGGCGCCGGAAGACACTCTGATGACCTTCATGATGTGTTTTAAAATAAATAAATAGTTATAACATCTTAGTTACTATAGAATTTCACACATATACTATTGTAACGCATTAGTTTGTGCTATTCGTTCTTCTGAGTGGCCTCTTTCTGAAAGTTCTTCACAGCCTGCTGTTACAGTTAATGCCTCACTTTCCTTTTAATGTCAGCCACTCTTGTTTTGGGGCCACACTGGAAGACGTACTGTTACGCTGCGCTGCGGTAAAAGACATCCTCAATCCGGTCAGCTCTCGAAATATCTTATGACTCGATTGATTTTCCTCATACACACTAAATTTAGCTTTTACTCGAGCTCTTCCCCCACCCTGATCTGTGTCCTGCTTTAATTCTCTCTGACCTCTGCTTGCTCTCTGAAGTGGCTGGATGGTGTGATATTGTGTTACCGTCCTGCTGGGTTCTCGTCACCACATTGTTGCTGGGCTGAATCGGTCATCTGAACTGGCGACACTGCAGTGTAGAACTGCAGCTTAGTCAGTTTGTGTACACGGCTAATTTCAGCCCCTGACTCTCACCGCTGAACAATGTGGTGATGAGTGTGAGTTCAACATGTTGGAAATTGTTACCGATGGGCGGATCAACAGTGAAGTATCGATTAAAACATGAATAGTAAGAAGTTTTAGTATTAATTTTACTCACTTTTTTTATGAAGTGAAATGCAGAAGTGGGGAAGATTTAACGGGATGAAATGATTTATGGTTCCCTCATTGTAATGTGCAACAACAGTGACCACCCTTCGTTTGTTTATTCATTTCCAGTTAAGTACAAGTGACTTATTTTTCAGAAGATATTTAAGAGGAGATTAGATGTAAGATAATGTACTTAAAGAGAAAGTTAAAAAAAAAAGTTTCCAAACTGAAGTTTAAAAGCTACAGAGGAATTGGGGCTCCTAACAACCACCTGGAAGACCTGGTAGACACCAAAACTGCCCCCATCAGATAAACAGCACTTAAAGCTTTCATCTCTGAGAGAGAGGAGAAAATCAAGCTGCTTCAGATCTGAAAACATCCACAGGTGTTTCTGTCCATCCTTCCACTGTGAGAAGACGACTCAGCGCTGTGGGTCTGAAAGGATGTGTAGCTGATCAAGAAGAACCTCACTGAGACAAGGAGACGGACACACCAAACAAAGAAGCTGAACGATGGACTGACCACCCCAGAGTCCAGACCTCAACACTACTGAATGTGTTTGATTACTTCAGAAAATGATCAACCAGCTTCTAAGACTGAACTTTGGAGGTGTGTCTGCAGATTCTTTGAGGAACTGAAAGTGAGTCTCCTGAAAGAATGGAAGCTGGAATAAAAGTGAAGAGTGGACACACTAAATATTGAAAAACGTGCTTATATTTAGTTGAAAATGAATAACTTGTACTTAATGTCTGTTTTGACTGGAAATACTATAATAGATAAATGAAGGGTGGTCTCTGACTTTTGCCCAGTACAGTATGTCTATATGTATGTAGATGTATATCTCTCTGGTCATGTTTTGTTAGTTTTCTAAGTTAAGACATCCTGAACAGGGACCAAACTTTAATATGATGTTTTTCTGTATATTTTAGTGCACAATTTCAATTTATCTGCAGAGTTTAACACATTGGAAAAAAACACAAGATTAAATGTGCCGTATGTTTTGTACAGGCCACATATTATATATATATATTTTTTTTCCCCAACATGCAAATTATTTTTGTATTAAAATCTGCAGTGCGCTCCAGCAGCACTGCTGTGTCTGATCCGCTCGTACCAGCACAACACACACTAACACACCACCACCACGTCAGTGTTACTGCAGTGCTGAGAATGATCCACCACCCAAATAGTACCTGCTCTGTGAGGGTCCATGGGGCTCCTGACCACTGAAGAACAGGGTAAAAGGGGGCTAACAAAGTATGCAGAGAAACAGATGGACTACAGTCTGTAACTGTAGAACTACAAAGTGCACCTATATAGTAAGTGGAGCTGATAAAATGGACAATGAGCGTAGAAACAAGGAGGTGGTCATAATGTTATGCCTGATCAGTGTATAGGATAATATAGGACCAAAAAGGGTTCCTCTAGTGTTAGGCCAAGCTTGTAATAATAGAATATTTTTTTTTAACTAAAGAACCCTTGAAGAACCACCTTTTTAAGAGTGTACAATGACATGTATGATACTGTATTTTTCATGTAATGTATTTTCATAATCGAGATACTAGCCTTGGTACTGCTTGTTATCAGATTTGAAAAAGCCTGTCCGTTTGTGTTTTAGACGGAGGAGGGCGGAGCGTGAAGCCTTCGGTCGAAGCGCAGCGAGATGAGGACTTCGAGGGCGCGCAGTGGAACTGTGACAGCTGCACTTTTCTCAACCACCCGGCTCTGAACCGCTGTGAACAGTGCGAGATGCCTCGCTACACCTGAACCCGTCGCCCTGGCAACCAGCACGGCCCCGCCCAGCGTCACCCAGACCCCGCCTTGTCTTCTGATCTCTGTTCCACCATTTAACTTCTGGGCTCTGCCTGCGCTCACACCCCCCTCGACCCCACCCAGCAATAACTGAGCCCAACCCTGCCCTGCTGAGGAAGAGCCACCTCCCCTTAATGAAACCTTAAATCTCTGTCCAGTCAGGCCCCGCCCCCTCCGGCTCCTCAAAGAAGCTCCATGCACTTGTTTTAATGTTTTTTGTTTCCTACTGAAAAATGATGCTTTATAAGAGGGGTGGAGAGGGACATCTCCAAGCAGGCGAGCTAAAGGGAGTGACTGGCTGTGGAGCAGACCGAAAAAGGGTGCATTTGTTATTGTTTTTTTTTGTTTTGTTTGGGGTTTTTTTTTTTTTTGAAGAGGGAGGAGCCTCTATTACGTCAGGTAGGCGTGCCGCACCAAGCTACCATTCCAAGCATAAAGAGACGGCTATGTTTACACGGAAAAACGAGCCCGAGCTGACCGCACGCGCAGGGCTGCGCTCCACCAGATCATGGACGATGTAATGATTCGAAGCCGGGGTCCGATTAACGATCTTAATGTAGACTTCACACTGTATGCGCTCTCCAAGAGCTCCTCTTTCGAATGAAGAACACTAAGAGACATGCATATGAATTATATCCTACTTACTTGGTACTTTTATGCATATTATGCCACACTGTATTCTGTGTTTAAGGTGTTGATTTTCCTGTGCAAATGCCTCAAGTTGCTGTACTTAATAAAGAAGTTGATTCTATGTGATGATAACTCAAGCTTGCAGTCTCGAGTTTAAAAACCTTATAGAAAAAGAAAAGAAAGAGGAATCGTTTGGCAAAAATGGTCAAATTTACACCATTATCTCCCTTATCTAGGCGTGGATGATGGGACAAATGCTTTTCTGAGCTGATTGTGGAGATCGGCAGCAATTAAGAACAGCGTTTTATTACAAAAAGAACATAAATAGTCCCGTTTATGTGGCAAACATTGAATAAAAATCATTGCCCTCATTTTTAAATTATGGCAGTGCAGGATATTTTGTCAGTTCCAGCTTATCAAAAAACATGAACTCACCACAGTATTTTTTATGTTCTATGGATCATGAAGAAAGTATCATATTACATTTTTGCAATATTGCCCACCCCAAACACAGTTGGTTATCCAAGACTTTTGCTTTAGCCATGTGGCTAATGCAGCTAACAAGTAATGAAAATCTAGTATACCTAGTAGCATCGTGCTAACTGCATGTCTAAATCTCACGCTTTAACCCTCGTGTCAATCACAAGGCCCGCGGCACAATCCTATTCGGCCCGCAAAATTATTTTAATTTTCTATTAATATTAGCCCGTTTCGCCATGAACTGCACTACAGTTCCAATATAACGTGTGCTCCCGCCTCCTCCCTAACAACAATCTATGGGACTGCACCACAAAAACAAAACAATAAAAAAAGAAGGCAGGTGTCCATTTCAGGCAAAAAAACCTACTGTACACTGGGGACATCTGAAGAGGTTTAACAGTTCTCTGCAGATAATGTAGTCTATTGTTTTATATAACAGTTTTTATTTAAAATTATCTTTGAATCGTTCAAGTATTCAGTGCCTATTTTTTGCCGTTGTAGTTTTGATTGAAATTGAAATTGAAATTAAAACACAGCTGGCCCACAGATTTGTTGAGATTTTTTAATAGGGCCCTTTTAGTGGACACCCTTGCTTTAAACCATATGGAGGTGTCCAGTGGTCTCTAATAGATTTGATTGTGCTTTCTGATACTGCATGAAACACTGAGTCTAACATGCACTTAATAATCCGATAACTGCAGAAAATCTGATTTTGTCAAGGTCTACATGAGTCAGACAGTAATAATAAACTCGCAGAAGAAGACGTAACGTAAACATAACGCAAGACTCAAACTTCATACACATCGCACCACTTTACCTGAAAATAGAAACATACATCATCTAGAAGATGAAGGATATTTGAATCCTTTATTTTGTGTTTGGTTTCAGCGCCGCTCCAAAAGTGTGTTGCTGCCATCTCAGGACATCCACGTCTGATCTCGTACACGCGCAGACTTAGAAATCCGATAGAAATCAGAGTAAGAGTTTACATACACTGAGAAATCTGATTACTAAGCTAAAATCCAGCTCTCTTAATCGGATTTCTAGATCGGAGTATGGTGTTTACATGACCATTCGAATAATTGGATAACTGCAGAAATCCGGTTATGATCGGATTATTGAGTGCATGTAAAAGTTTTAGGTTTGCATGATGCTAATAGGTGGACTATACGCTTCACTTACTTGTTAGCTAAATTAGCTCAAGTGTAAAAGTAAAGAATCAAACTTCTGACACCAAATCTGTCCTGAGTGATCTGATGTTCTCACAGATGTGAGAAAAGAGCTATTGATGAGAAGTGAAGGTTTGTAGTGGTCTATATGCTTTAGGTCAGTTACTGTAGTTGTCAAATTAATACGCAGACGGTGTTCTGGTGATGTGATATCTGTCCAGCACATAGCCAGCTATTTTAGAGACATTATAAAGGAGGAGGAGACAGTTCACTGGCTGGAAAATGAATACGAAAACTCATAACACTCAACGTGTCTGTTTATGAGGAACGTCCCAACCTTTAATACAAATGAGCCAATCAGCTTGCTGGTAAAGCCACAAGCGGGGAGCTATTTGAGCCGAACGCTGTCACCTATTTAGGCGATTTTTGTCAAATTTTCATGCCAGTGATTTTAAATATGGTTTTAAGAAGTTAGTGTGGCTTTTAGTTTGGTGTTTAGGGGTCTCTACTCTTTAGCCATGTTTACATGCAGTCTGATAATCCATTAAAAATCTGACTAATAGCTGAATTGGAACAGAATACAACCATGTAAACTGAAAAGAAAAGTCCGATTAAGGTCATTCGGAATACAGTTTCTATCCGGTTGATCGAGGTGGGTAATCCTGTAAATAATCCGTTAAATAGAAGAATAATATCCGTGTAAACGCCTGTATCTGATTACATTCCCTATCGGAAAGTTTAAGTCCGTTCTGATCATGTTCATCACGTCATAGTGAGAGTTTATACCGTTCAACATGGTGGAGCAGAAACTGGTCTGCAGAGGAGACGAAGTTTATGCTCTGATCTTTAAAAGACGGCGGTGGGACGGACGTCCAGCTTATGTGTCTCAGAACACGACGTCTTCCCCTCGGCCTTCTTTAATAAGGACATGTGAAGGACGTTTTCCTGAGTCTCACATCATTCTAAAGCAATTAAAAACACAAGCGCTGCTCACTGCTGCTCGTCTCACTCTGACTGGACTCACATGATGGTTGTTGTCATGGTAACATCTACACTAAGTGGTTCTCTACGCATGCACATCATTTTGGATCAGATTACTTGTAGTGCGCATGTGAACAGAGATTTTCATCAGATTGTTGAGTAGAGTAAGAATAAACACCTCGGTCTTAATCTGTAATCAGAATGTATTTAATCGGATTGGCAAAAATCTTTGCATGTAAACACAGCCTTTGAAAGAGAGAGTAGTCTGATCTTATGACTAGAAATAACTGCCAAGTGGTCAGACTTTCTTATAAGGACTTCAGTTATGTGCAGAGGTGGTAGTAACCAGTTCTGTTTGGATGGATTTGTACTTTGCTGAGTATTTCCAAAAGCTAGTACCTTTACTTTTACCCAAGTGTGTTAGAGAAGACTCTACTTTTTACTCAGTTACATCTTCATCATTAACATTTAGTTACTACTCTGTGTTTACATTCATGCATTTATCCAGAGCAACTTAGAATTTATTAATGTACACTCATAAGGATGGTTCTTCAAGGGTTCCTTAATAAAGAAAATGGTTCCATATAGTACCATGAACACTCAAAGAACCCTTTGCATCATTATAGAGTTATTTGCTTTGCGAAATTCTTCTTCAGATTGATTGAGAATGTGCTGTGAATGGTTCTATTCAGAACATTTTTGATGAAAACGGATCTATGTAGCACCAAAAAAGGGTTTTGCTACTGTATACAAGTTTGACATCATAACAATAGAAGAACCCTTTTCAAAGAGGTTCTCTATAGAACTATATACAACACATTCTCCCTCATCTGAAGAACACTTTCACGATGCAAAGAACCCTTTAAACATGCGAATGGTCCTACTTTTAAAAGGGTTCCACTATTGTTACAAGCCAAAGAACCTTTTTTGGGACTATGTAGAACCTTTTTTGCTAAGAGTGTAGGATTAGAAGTTTTGCCCAAACACTGGTATTGGTAAAGCATGGTGTTCTCACCTGGGCAGGGAATTGAACCCCACTCTGCCGTTTGGAGGGCAGCAGTATTTGGCTCTTCAAGGGTTCCTTAGTAAAGAAAATGGTTCCATATAGAACCATGAACACTCAAAGAACCCTTTGCATCATTATAGAGTTCTTTGCTTCGTGAAAGTCTTCTTCAGATTGATGGAGAATGTGTTGTATATGGTTCTATATAGAACATTTTTGATGAAAATGGTTTCTATATAGCACCTAAAAGGGTTTGCAATTGTATACAAGGTTGACATTGTAACATCAGAAGAACCCTTTTCAAAAAGGTTCTCTATAGAACCATTTGCAACACATTCTCCCTCATTCTAAGGAACACTTTCACAATGCAAAGAACCCTTTAAACATGCAAATGGTCCTATTTTAAAAGGGTTCCACTATTGTTGTAAGCCAAAGAACCCTTTGTTGGTACTATATAGAACCTTTTTGTTAAAAGTATAGGATTAGAAGTTTGTCCAAACACTCCTGTTGGTTAAGCATGGTGTGCTTACCTGTGCGGGGAACCCCACTCTGCTGTTTGGAGGGCAGCAGTATAACCCACTACAGGAACTAAAAGGATCCAAAAAGACAAAAATAGAGTCTAACAAACTTCACCTCCTATGCCGATAGTTGCTGGACGGACAAAGACGTTCCACTGCAGTTCTGTAAGTTACTCAGTACGTTCTTTCAGTAGTTTTTTGAGCTGCTACTTTTGTACTTCTACAAGAAAAGGTACGTTTGCTTGAGTCTACATTTCACTGCAGTACCAAAAGTACGTCTGGAGTCTCTACACACCTCTGATTATATGCTGTTGACAAACAACGCATAGAATTGCACCTTATTGATCAGCTTAACTCAGTCAAGGACAAAACCAATCACACAACCAGCCCCCCCCCCAATCCCACCCGGATACCATCAAAAACTTGGACGCCACAGACAGACAGCTGTTATTAATGAACACTACACCTTTGTTTTCTTTATCTCTTTATTTGGTTAGTGTATATAAAGTTTTATGTCACAACTGCATTTCGGGGGTTTAAAAGCCCCCAACACATTCACTCCATCACGCTCACACACACACACACACACACATACATACACAGTGCTTCATGCCTCTCTTTCAAACACACACATGCACACTTTAGATTGACAGTGCTAAGAAATACAGTCCTATAGTCCACCATAAGCTACCTGTATTGATACTGAAGTAAGACTAATAAGATCACTCATGGAATATCGATCAGAAACTAGTCTATTATCAAGGCTCGGCTAAAACCACAACACCTCTAGTTTTCCTACGATGCAAAACTTTTTTATTCAAAGCCGTTTTTAGAGGGTTTTTTTATTTTATTTTATTTTTTTTCCAATTGTGTGAACATCTATTTAAGAAGATTCAGTTTTCAAATCACAGTCCTTCTAATCTAATCTTAAAAGTCTCAAAACACTAGTTTTAAATCCTTTCAACCTCCTCCAAAAGTGTAACGTAGGGTGTTTTGGTGTTTAGAAACGGCTTCGGGTTCGAGTTCTTGTGTATCCGCTTTAGTGCCCTCACAATTTGGGAGGGGGGTGGGGGGTGGGGGCCATAAAAGTGGACAAAAGACGACTACCTTGTGACAGACACAGTGTAGGAAATGGTGGCAGGTGGTTAGACCCAGAACCTGAACCTTACAAACAGCAAATTGACTTTAAAGGGGAGTTCCACCCTTTTTTCCAAATTTCTGCACAATTCAATAGCTTCATTCAGAGTGATTTGATGTGAGACAGTTCACTGTAGAGAAACTTTCAGACAGATTTCTTTATTTTACTTACTATCCAAAATCTCCAGAGACCCAAACACGTCATCTGAGTTTTAGATGGAATGTTGATGATGGTAAAATAGTGATAAATATGAAACAATACATTTTCTTTGGGGATTATTTTGCCTTATAACGCTCAGCATGCACCCCTCCACCAAGAATATTTTTTTATGCCAAAAATTTATCTCAAAACTATCATACAAACAATGTCTCAGACGTCAGGCAGCGTCTTCGTAACCATTTCATGTAATAACGCTCGCTGACGGAGCTTTTAGAGGTGGACGTCTGGTTCCTATCACCACCACTGTGAACAATTCTGACTCAGTATATTTCTCTAGAATGGAGCATTTCACAGCAAACCACTCTGAATGACTCTGTTTACATCTTAACCATTTAATTATGCAGAATTTTGAGAAATCAGTGGACTTCCCCTTTAGCATTCACTAAGTTTTTGGCCTGTGGTTAAGAAACAATCATGTTCTTTAAACATTCAGACTCAGATTCTGGGCTGAAATGTGAAAACAAGCACTGCGAGCCCTATTAGATTCATTACACAATATGTGGATGCACTCCACTCATTCACTGATGTACCGCAGTGTTACTTCCAGCAAAGGTAATATCCCACATTAAGCCCATCGCTGCAAATAACATATCATATCCTATTACCAGGCCATCTCCTACAGCTTAGTCAATATCTGTGTAGGCTTCTACATGTTATATAAGACACTGCACTTCTGTTGTCTCTGTATGTTGAGCTTGGTTGTCCTCCAGGTTTTTTGTTTCCTAATAAACCAAATGTTCCATTAATAATGTTAGAATTACTGATAATTCAGCCAACAATCTCAATGGCAGCTGCAATATTGGTCTTTACAATGCTGATATCGCAGAAGCCTCTAACCAATCAATTGTTTATTGTTCTCTGTGAGCATCCCGACCATCCTGACCGCTCACAGACGTTCCTTGATTGCACTTTCTGTTAGTGCTTTAACGAATCAAGGCATTTATGTGATCCAACAAACATAAATTGTGGGTATATAACACAGGCCTGTCTTAATGTCAGTGGTTCACCAGTGTGCTTTAATATGTTTTACATGTATATAGGTGCTGTTAGGTAGGTAAAGTTCTCCCATAAAAAGGGGAAATCCACTGATTTTTCAAAAGTTCTGCACAATTAAGTGGTTAAGATGTAAACAGAGTCGTTCAGAGTGGTTTGGTGTGAAACGCTCAGTTCTAGAGAAACTTACAGAGTCAGAACTGTTCACAGTGGTGGTGATAGGAACCGGATGTCCCTCATGGAAAGTTATTGCTTGAAGTCATTATGACTTTGTGGCCTAACACCCGAGACACTGTTGTAGGATAGTTCTGAGAAGGCCTAAAAATATATATACATATTTAAATATATTCATAGCAGACGGGTACATGCAGGGTGTAAGGAAAAGTGTTACCCAAAGAAAACACTATTTTCCATCATCTACATTCCATATAAGCTCAGAAGACTCGTGTAGGTTCACTGGTGGTTTTGGATAGTAAATAAAATGTCTATATTTGTGTTGTAGTCATGGCGACCCCTGGTTCCTATCACCACCACTGTAAAGACATCTGAACCATTTCACACCAAACCACTCTGAATCTCTGTTTACATCTCAACAATATATTTATGCAGACATTTTGCAAAACCAGTGGAATTCCCCTTTTAACCGTACCGGGTGCCAGTTTTCCAATTCCGGTTTTGTGTTCGTTATGCTGCATCACGGAAAGTCAGTAAGAAAACATACAGGCTAACAATTCAGTGAAACACTGGGCTGTAAAGCACGAAAGCTCTGCTCGTATTTAAGATTAAATATATTCTTTGCTACATCAAAATTGCCTTAACACGTTGTTAAGGAAGGATGTGATTGAGAAGGTAGTTAGAGGTGCAGCTAGATAGTTCTCGGTTCTCAGTGTTACGCAGACAAACTAACTGCATCCAGTGAGAAGAGAAAGCTTTGTGTAGAAGATGATGACTCACCATCTACTACTATAACTACCACTACTACAGGGAAACTACAGGGAAGGAAAGTGGTCAGATCGCCCCCTGCTGTTTGTCTTAACAATTGGAGGTGCTGCACATTACAGGGTGCTGTGTCACCCCCATATTCACTCATTTTTGACAATATGTCAGTGTCCCAATAAGTAAATGACCATAAAAGACAGAAATATAGTCTTTACAAGTGTTTTCCCAAGACGGACTACAAAGTCTGTTGTGCAGATGATGTCACTAACATGAACCCCATGAAGTGGTGCCTGAACTGTGCAGTGGGTTTTGTAGTTCCATTCTGTTGCACTCTTTACTGTTGCGAAGTAGACCTTCTCTAAAATTACAGCTAATTCCTTCTGAAAAATTTCCCAAAATGAATGGTATTTCTATGTGCTTTGAACGCAACAGGGTGTAGATCTGTGCCTTTTCTCCCAGTTATCCGTCGAAAAGCTACTCTGAATGACAGTGGACATCTTACCCATTTAGCAAAATTTCTCTGGCCCACTTGTGGGCCACGTCCTTGTGTTTGTTCTGGCCCTGTACACAGCTGGGTCCTCGGCCCAGATCTGGCCCATACACTATAAAGTGAGCAGAACTGTTGGATGTGGCCCAAATCTGACCCAACTACATTATTTGTCCACAGCATTCATCCCAGATTTGGTCCACAAATATGGACTCGAGGCAAAACCGTATGAAGTCGTCCAGGATCTGGCCTTGTTCTGTCCTGCATGCTTCACATCTGCCTAGACGTCAACCAACGTTTGTGTAGGAAAGCCAGAATCAGCCCAAACTCTCTGCTATCTGGGTAACTATTTTTCTAAATGGAATTTTTGCCAAATTGGTGAAATTGGCTTACAATTCAGTGAAACAATGCTGTGCTTTAACTGGGCTGTAAAGGGTGAATGTTGTGCTCATATTTGGGTCATTCTACAGAAACGTCCATTTTGGTGTCCCCAGCATTTAGAGATATATTCCACTTGAAAAACATGTTAGGGTTACAATTTATTTATCTTTTAAAATAAAACAATAAGTTATTTTATCAATTACACCTTCTTGAGCCTCAATTTAGCAATATTGGTTTTTAAATCAATTATCTAGAATTCCAAGCACCACAGAAGAGCTCGTCCTCACAGTCATGTGTGAAGGCTGAGGCCATATTTTGAGGTAAAAAACATGTTTTTTCTGCAATTTTAACTGCAATAATCTATACATGACTATGTAATATCTAAATTAAATGGCATAAAGAAAACAAATGCCAAATAAATATTCTAAAATATATAATGAAAGTTCCCCAGGAGTCGTGTCACTGGTGTTACTGCATAACAAAAAATCTCTTATTTTGAAATAAAAGTCACACTGATGACATCACTCGACCTCCTTTTACCTGTTTTCTGAGGATCTATGAAGAAAAGCTCATGGTGAGTCCACTGTGTCTTTCAGTTATCAGAGATTTTCTCATTTAGCTCATGATTTCATATGAAGCTTTTAGCTGAAGTCACTGGTGTGACCGACTTTACTCTGAGGTAACTGTGAAAATTAAATTAAATTCCATATTTTAGTGGATATTCCATGATTGACGACATGTGGTTTGATGCTCTGTAGCAGCCATTCTGTAAAATGTATTGTTCATTAAAATGTCTCTGGTGTTCCTTTATTATGTGTAACACCAATGACGATCGGTAACACCAGTGACTCCTATGGAGAGACAGAAAAGTGGACGTTTCTGTAGAATGACCCGTTTATGTAAGTTTGTGATACTTTGCTACAACGAAGGTGGCTTAACGTCAGAAATGCCGGTTGAGAATGTAGAGATGAAGCTGTGGCTAGGCTAACCGCTCTAGCTAGAACCAAAAACACTGGAAAGAAATTTCTGTTCTCAGTCTAGACAAACTAACATGTTGGCGCTTCATCCACTGAGGAGAAAAAGCTTTGTGAGGAAGACGGCGACACAATGCTGCAACGGTTAGCGCTAGTGTTAGCATTAGCTCACTAGCTAACAATTCAGTGAAACCTGTTGTGATTTAACGGAGCTGCTAAGTGTGCAGGATGTGCTCATATTTACGTAAGTAAACTATAATTTGCCACAGCGACGGTGCCTCACTGCGAGCATTAGGACGGGAGCGACAGGATATCGGGCTGCTGTTAGCCTCCTGACGGCAAAGCCAGAAGCCCACTGGTGTTTTTCAGGTGGTCCACCAGTGATTAAGCAGAGTATTACCCACTTTTCATCGCAGGTTTTCCTCTCAAAGTCCAGTTTATCCTTCATTATCCTTCACTTCTTTCTTTCATTATCCTTTGTAGCACAGTGTCAGCAACATTTTCAACTAAGTCATTTTATATTAGGCCTAGTCATTTTTTTTTCTCAGTTGTTTAGAATATTTGCCTCAGATTATTTTCCAAAATAAAAGGCTCTGTGCATTTAAAATCTACAAATAGACTTTGTATAGAGGACGAGCAGCGGTGGACCAGCAGTGGCATGCAGTCAGCGACCTTATCAAGCCAGTGGACCGATATATGCTTGCTATCTGGGGGGCTAACCACTAGGCGTTAGCTAGAACCAAAACACTGAAAACATATTTCTCTGTTCTTGGTGTTACTAGTAGACCAACTAGTTAATATCCGTTCATTAGCTTTTACGGATACTCAGGTATATTCAGTAATATCTGTCCAGTGGCTTTTATGGATATTCGGATAAACTCAATAATATCCGTTCATTTTACGGATTCTCGAATATCAAAATTAGTTAATATTATCGCAATCATAATGTGCCTGTATCGTGCAGCTCTGTAACCAGATCTCGAAAACATCCTTATTTTTCTTTCCGCTCTCTCTGTTTGGGTATACCTGTGCTTTCTCATTACCGAGACTGACTGATATTCTAATTATTGCCGTACTTGCTTTGATCCGTGTCTGTGTGGCTGGTCAGACAACCCCTGTCACCTGCTTGGCTACACATCTTACTCCAGATGGAGCGCTCCGCAGGGACGACACATCACAGGCTAGTTCCAGAAATTCCAGAAAGTTCTGGAGCCTGATGGCTAAAAAGAGCGCACAGAGATCAGAAATGGATCACGGGGTGTCAGAAATGTGAGGAGAAGGTGAGAACAGATGAGACAGACAGATGGAAAAAGGGGGTGAGTGACACTTTGATGAATGAGGGAGCGGTGAGAGAGTTTAAGGGGACAATAACGGACGCAGACGCTTGTCGGTGCGAGAAACCGAAAGACGCTCGAAAGCAGCCAGATAAACAGATTTTTCAGTCCCAGTCTGACAGGCCTGGCTTTGCTCTGCTTTGTTTGTAAGGATATGATCGGTCCTGCAAGGTTCGGTGCATTAACTTATGCTGCTGTCAGAAACAGTGTAGCGGAGTGCATCGTGGGTAATGTAGTCGTCGAGCGGGTTTAGTAGTAGTCTTCATAGTTCTTGGGGTTCAGGCAGTACAGGATGGCTCCCCCGAAGGAGAAGATGGTGGCCCCCCAGGCCAGGCCGTAGCCCCAGTTGAACTCGTGGTATATTCTCAAACTGATGGTCTCGATGAACTTGATGGGGTAGAGAACCAAACTGCAAGCCTGCAGAACAACTGTGGGAAGGAAAAAAAACAAAGAAGAAGACGACGAGTCATGACGAAAACCGAGAAGACCATCAAAGAGTAACAAAAGTAGGTTAAGAACACAAATCAAGCGCATATAAATCGAGCCAGTGTTCACTCCTCAGAGGGGTCCATGCCTTGATGAGCTCCTCCACAGACTTCAAAGAAAATCCACTTAAAAGACTGTAGAAAAAGCTCTTTTTAACTACAAATCATTTTGTTTTTTTTCCGTGTGATTTATTCGAAATAAGGCTGAGTAATTACTGAAACAGCTGTGTGGTGAGATGCTCTCGTGTTATGATGCTTTGTCGGGGGTGGAAACAGTGATGCACTTCCTGTTTCCATTCACATCCATTTACTCGAGGAGACTAATAACCTGTTATTCACTACACAAACGCTGAAAGAGAATAAGACTGACCTCTGATTATCTTTCCAGCCTCTTATTAACAATAGTCTGATCTGATGTAGGAGAGAAAGTGGTGCACAACCACTTTTTGTTCTTTGTTAAATCGTTTTAAAAGTATTTCAATCGTTTTTTATACACTCAACCTACACATCTCTGATGATCTCATTATTCTTTGTAAATTGGCTTAGTAAATCATTTTAATCAGCAACATTTTCAACAAAATCATTTTATTTTAGGCCTAGTCATTTTTTTTTGATTATTTTTTTACATTTCCCTTTGATTATTTTCCAAAATAAAAGGCTCTGTGCATTTTAATCTGTTTGAAAAGATAAAAAATAGACTTTGTATGCAGAACAGTAATCTGGGTGGTCCGAGGGTGGACCAGCAGTGGCATGCAGTCAGCGACCTTATCAAGCCAGCAGACCGATATATGCTTACTATCTGGGGGCTAACTACTCTGGCTGGCGTTAGCTAGAACCAAAACACTGAAAATATATTTCTCTGTTCTCAATTTTACTTAGAACAACTAGTTAACCGAATATCCACTCAGTAGCTCTTATGGATTCTCGAATATCAAAATTAGTCTATAAAAAAACAGCTATAACATCCTGTTTTTTTCACAAACACTGTATCACTCCACTGAGATGCCGTTGCTAAGCAACGACTATACCAGCTATAGGAGACGCTCAAGACATTTGAACGTTTTTACTTCTTACTTTGCCACAAACAGAAAATGGACACTTTTAAGATCACATTTGACCGACAGCCGATTTGGTCAGACTCTGAAGATGAGACAACACTAAATTCCCAAACTGTCATCACCACTGAGCAGCTTTTCAGTCGGCAGCTGAGACAGAAGAACAGCTAAACAACCTGGAATCAGCCAGAAATGAACCCAACACCATTCGCCAAACTAAATGGGCTGTAAGATGCTTTACAGACTGGCTGGAACAAAACAACATTAATACTGATCTGGCAAAAACTGACAAAACTGAGCTAAACTTGATATTGCAGCAGTTTTATGGCTCAGTCTGATTTGGTCAGACTCTGAAGATCAGACTACACGTTTGGCGAATGGCATTGGGTTAATTTCAGTGCTATATTACAGCCACCAAAAAGGATATTAAAATATTAGAGTAAGTTACTTTCATGGCAACTCCACTCTTTAGGATGACTCTGGAGAAATATCTGCCCAACTGTCTCAATACGCAGATGACGTTGCTATGGGAACACGGGAAGATGCCTATAAACATGTTCTATAGACTATACTATACTATCTATATCTATACTGAACTGTCACTGGGGTGGTACCCTCGAGGGTACGTCTTCAGTACCCTTAGTTGTTTTGACTCCACACACCCCGTCTCGTCTCCAGGCTTTTTATTTTATTGTTCTGTTTTAAAACATTTTTTTCCTGGGGAAAAATATTTAAGGTACACAGTTGTTCCTTATAATCATTGTTGTACCGTTGAGAGTTCATTTACTTTGTTTGTACCTTAATAAAGATAAAATGTACCTGCACAGAACCTCTATTTCTGACAGTGTACTTGAAATTGTTGCACTACACAAAGAGAACCACAGCTTTGTATGTCTACCTGTGTTTTCTATCATAGTGTAAAAGATGCACAAGGCTTCCTTTGCTGTTGGTCTCCAGGCTCAGGTGTGTTTAGAGCCACCACCAAATAATTTCATTGGCTGTTTTTATTCACATTTTGTCTGCATTTGTTAAAATATCGTTATACAGCAAGTTGGCCAGCTGTATTTCCTCACATTGCTTTGTGTTTGGATGCTTTACATTATTTTAAATAATAATAATAACCTTAATAGTTAATACACAAAACATGTGTGTACTATGTGTGTATAGTTATCTGTGGGCTGAGCTGCTTGCTGTTCATCTATGTACAGGGGTGGTCCCTGGACCTGATGGTGGCCTGGCCCTAAGGGGTCCAGAGTTTAGTGGGCAGAGCTCAGGGTCCTGAGGACAGACACATTTCTCAGCTGAAGGATTCAAAGGATCCTACAACACGGAACAGCATTCAGCAAAAGACTTCAGTGCTTCTTGTCATTCTTTACGCTCTGTTTGTATGTTTATTTGTGTGTGTGTGTGTGTGTGTGTGTGTGTGTGTGTGTGTGTACCTGCGGCGAACAGCATGACAGATACAGGTTTGTAGAAGCGTCTCCTGGTGCCAGTGCAGACGGAGATCAGAGCCACCAGGAAGGAGATGAGAATGAGGAACGCTCCGCCATGCAACAGTGCCAACGTGGCAATCTGCCAATCTGTACCCAAACAACAACAACAACAATAACAACAACATTTATTTAGCTTTCACACAAAAATAACAACAACAATACTGGAGAGAGAATAACACCAGTCTCTATTATTATCACAATAATACCATTTATCTATTTACACAGCAATAACACAGTAATAACATTGTTGAATTCATGGAATTAATACATTATTATTATTTCTATTACTATTATTAGTAGTAGTGTTATGATTATTAGAGATAGATACAGTACTGACCATTTATTTAATTTCCAGTCAAAACAGCCAATAAGTACAAGTCATTCATTTTTCAGGAGATGTTTACGAGGAGATTAGATATAAGCAACCGTGAAAGGCCTGGTAGACCTTCTGTAACGCTGGGTTGATGGATTAGACACTCGCAGATAAAAGATAAACCATAAGGTTTATTAAAAGGAGAATGAGCTGAAGTAACAGGGTTGACACCAGACCAGGTCAGCAACCAGATAAACCAAACGCAACGCACGGGCGAAGACGATAACAGAGTCGAATAAACAAGACTAAGCCAAAAGACAGATGGGAGGTTCGGTAACAAGGAAGCAAAGCAAGTTCATAAACGCACAACAGCAATCAGACAGAAGAGTGGCTCGGTATGCGCTGGCAAATCAAGGGCAAAACTTCGCAAAGACAAGGGTGGCTTGGCTGGTGGAGTCATGTGACTAAGAGAAGGATTCTGGGAAGTGGAGTCCATAATGGCATGAGAGTTCAATGAGAACCAGGAAGCATGACATCACCAAAACTGCCCCCATCAGATAAACAGCACTTAAAGCTTTCATCTCTGAGAGAGAGGAGAAAATCAAGCTGCTTCAGATCTGAAAACATCCACAGGTGTTTCTGTCCATCCTTCCACTGTGAGAAGACGACTCAGCGCTATGGGTCTGAAAGGATGTGTAGCTGTCGAGAAGAACCTCACTGAGAAAAGGAGACGGACACATCAAACTAAGAAGCTGAACGATGGACTGACCACCCCAGAGTCCAGACCTCAACACCACTGAATGTGTTTGATTACTTCAGAAAATGATCAACCAGCTTCTAAGACTGAACTTTGGAGGTGTGTCTGCAGATTCTTTGAGGAACTGAAGGTGAGTCTCTTGAAAAGATGGACGCTGGAATATATATATATATATATATAATGATTTGAATATTATTTTGTTTTGTTTTTCTTTATAATGCAATTATCCAGTTGCTTCTGCATGATTGGCTGAAGATATAGGTCACACGGCTGCGTATGTCAGACGTCATTTCTGGCAGGAAGTGGATAGTGCTGCGTGTTGCCTACACAGTATGACTCCGTTTGTGGTGAAACCAGAAACTGTGCGTTGGTGATAACATACCACAGATTGGTGACACAGACTTGATCTCACAGCTCTATAATCTTGAGTCTGCTCTCACTTCCACAGCTATGTAACATCAATGTCCATGCCTGCTATTAAACCTTTGAACTCACTGAGGCCTCAAGCGGTGTTCTGGCCGACATACCGGGCTGAACACAGTATAAATCCAACCAGCACCAGTCATCACAATTTCTAACTGTAGTCTTCATTACAATATTAACAGCTATAATGCAGGACTATATCTGTACTTTTCAGCATTACTCTTGTTACTGTTTATAATGTCAAAGCTGACAGAGCATCCAAATGTCCCTTTTTTGTTCAATGAATCAGAACAAATTAGCATCCTTATTGCAGGAATACGACATACACATTTTTGCATATCAAAACAAACAAGTGTCTGAATCACAATAACACAAATACACAAACAATACGGCAAAATATGTGTTTGCATCAACACTTCACCACAACAATAACAGAAACAGTGGTGCAGATGCTGATGCTTCAGTTCGTCTTTTCTGCTGTAGTTCAGTTCTGGCAGACCATATATACGGAGACTACAGCAACAAACATGCGGCCAGTATGTTTTATGTTACACATCGCTGACCTCAACAGGCATTTTACATCCTAACGCTTCACTATCTGTCCAAAAGACTCCATAAAGTCCTTCTAATGAGTGAATTCAGCTACATAGCTGTTCAATTGTGCAGATTTATGTATATATGTATATATCTAAAAAAAAAGCATTGACCAATAGAATGAGATGCTCTGGAGCAGCTGGATATGAGCCTAAGGTCACCATGGTCAACAATGCCAAGTGTGGGCTAGAGGGGTATAAAGTCCCCCCCAGCATCTGGAGTGATGGAGCTCCATCCAATACCTTTGGGATGAGTTGGAGTGATCCAGAACTGACCATCCAACATCAGTACCTGGCCTCACTAATGCTCAATCAAATCCTCACAGCAATGTTCCAGCATTCCCAAAAGAGTAGCAGCAGAAAGGGGACAAACTCACTACCAATACCCTGGAGGAGCAACTTCCTACAAACTTCTCTTGTTGTTTCAGCTGTTCCTTTTCTTGAACAATAAGGCTCAACAACCTGACAGTATCATATAGCAGCTTATTAAGGCAGGCCAGTGTGAGAAGTTTGACCCGTTGCTCTTAGTTTCATTGTGCCTCCCAATTTCAGGTGCTTTTGTCACCTGGTTTCAGCCCGGCAGCTACATAAGACCAGAAAACCAGCCGCTGCTGTAGTGTCTGAGGGAGGCCTGGGTGGATTGGGCTGCTTTTAAGATCTCCTCATTCAGTGAGTAGACCGTTTTCGCTCTCATGTATCTGCCTCTAAGCTTGGCTGCTTAGCTGTGATAGCTTCTAAAGGCAAGCAGATGAGGTAGCTTGAGTCGCTAGCTCAGAGCTGGATAACAGGCTACATTCACATTCCAAGCATTGTTGCTCAAATCCGATTTCTTGCTCAACTCCGATCTCTCTGACACGATGATTCACACTCGTTTAGGTAAGTGATTCAAATCTGTCATTAATGTGACGAACCGGCGTCCTGAAATGACCCTCATGACCACATCCTACTCAGTAACGTCACGTGAATGAATCACGTTCATCATCAGCACAAACTAACGAGCAGAACGAGCTTCGCTGAGAAGATAATTAACTCTGATCAGCTCTCAGCTTCATTATTAGAGCGAGACGAAGGAGAAAAAGGTGAGATGAGCTGCTTTTCCACCGTTTACAGGCTTTAACTTCTGTTCAGCGCTGCTGCCATGGTAACGCTGAATGATGGCGCAGTGGAAAAAAAGCACATGAATTCAGATCTGAGCGTCACATTAAGGTCTCATGGCCACAAATCGGATACGTATCCGATCTAGGACCACATATGAAAGTGGATCAGGTCGGGTTTGAAAAGATCAGATTTGTGTGTCCACACAGCTCTGAAAACATCAGATCTGAGTCACATTAGGGCAAAAAATCTGATTTGTGCCACTTCAGCCTGGTAATGTGAACGTGAATGTGAATATCACCCCTGTAGAATGTTTTGGTGGGAAAGAACTTAGTTTGCTAACGAGGCTCTCTCTTCATCGCTGAGCCTTCACTTTCTGTTTAGTCTTCAGTGTGTTGATGGCTCCTTTATTTCGCTGTGTCTTTTTAAACCCCACAAATCATGAGCTAGCAGTTTGTGGGCGGAGCTAAGCGCAGTTTGCATGATAAGATGCAGTATCAGTAAATAGAAAATGAAATGTCAGCACATGTTGCAGTCGCACTTTGCGCTGCACCTGCACTCGTACACACACCTGACCTTAGTGTGAGTTTGGACAGTATTTAGGAGGTCTTTAGTCTAGTCGGGATGTTTGTGTGATACTGTTTTCTTATCTGGAGTTCATGATGAGATTAGGAAGTTACTGTTATTCTGTAACAGCTACTGTCCTAAATTCAGTCCATAATAAAGTTGTCATGGAGACTAAACAGATCAGATTTCAGACCTAAGAAGTTTCTGTAATACGACTGCAGAACAGTAATGGAATTTAGTACTTGACTGACAAGATATATGAATTATATTAAGGAAAGTATTTCAGTCTAAATGCAATGCAATAGTTATACTCAATTACAGTGACTCAGACATAATCTGGAACTGAACGAAGTCGGGAGCAAGATTGTGTCATTTGTTAGGTACACCTTGTTTCTATGCTACAGTTACAGACTGTAGTCCATCTGTTTCTCTGCATACTTTGTTAGCCCCCTTTTACCCTGTTCTTCAGTGGTCAGGACCCCCATGGACCCTCACAGAGCAGGTTCTATTCGGGTGGTGGGTCATTCTCAGCACTGCAGTAACACTGACGTGGTGGTGGTGGTGTGTCAGTGTGTGTTGTGCTGGTCTGAGTGGATCAGACACAGCAGTGCTGCTGGAGTTTTTAAACACCTCAGTGACGCTGCTGGACTGAGAATAGTCCACCGACCAAAAATATCCAGCCAACAGCGTCCTGTGGGCAGCGTCCTGTGACCACTGATGAAGGACTAGAGGATGACCAACACAAACTGTGCAGCAGCAGATGAGCTATCGTCTCTGACTTTACATCTACAAGGTGGACTGACAAGGTAGGAGTGTCTAATAGAGTGGACAGTGAGTGGACACAGTGTTTAAAAACTCCAGCAGCACTGCTGTGTCTGATCCACTCGTACCAGCACAACACACACTAACACACCACCACGTCAGTGTTACTGCAGTGCTGAGAATGATCCACCACCCGAATAGAACCTGCTCTGTGAGGGTCCATGGGGGTCCTGACCACTGAAGAACAGGGTAAAAGGGGGCTAACAAAGTATGCAGAGAAACAGATGGACTACAGTCTGTAACTGTAGAACTACAAAGTGCACCTATATAGTAAGTGGAGCTGATAAAATGGACAATGAGCGTAGAAACAAGGAGGTGGTCATAATGTTATGCCTGATCGGTGTAAATGTGTATATGAGTCTATGTGGGTGTCCGTCAGTCCAGTCTGTGGGAATGTGGCTTGTGGGAAGAAACTGTTGCAGTCTGGCTGTAAGGGCTCGAATACCATCTATGGCAAAAGAGAGAACAGTTCTTGTGAGTCCTCCACAAATAAGCCTGGGATATGAATGGGTTAATT